TGTGAGAAAACCAAGTCAAAAACGGGTCAGGTCAAATTTGACCCAGTTCAGAAACCAAGTCAGACCCACTTCAGAAACCAAGTCAGGTCAGATCCAAACTGGTTCTGAACTAGTTCAACAAAATCCAATCCAAGTCAGACCTGACTTGGATCAAATTAAAGCGGGTCGGGTCAAAATACCTGACCTATAAAAACCAAGTTGGGTCGAGTCGAACAAAAACCTGACCCGACCTGACCCATGCACAGCCCTAATCATGATGAAGAATTTGAAAATTTAAAATTTGAAAAGTTTTGTGATAAGCATGACATAGGCCACAATTTCTCTTCTCCTAGAACACCATAACAAAATAGAGTTGTAGAGAGAAAGAATTAGAGTCTTAGAAGAACTTGCTAGAACTATGATTAGTGAAAACAATCTTCCTAAGTACTTTTGGGCCGATGCAGTAAGTATCGCTTCTTGTGTAATCAACCGTACACTAATTAGGCCAATCCTTAAGAAAACCCCCTATGAGCTTTATAAAGGAAGAAAGCCTAATATTGCATATTTTCATGTATTTGGTTGCAAATGCTATGTTTGAAATAATGATAAGGATAATCTTGGTAAATTTGACGCTATAGTCGATGAAGGTATATTTCTTGGTTATTCTCTTACTAGCAAAGCTTATAGAATTTACAATAAAAGAACCATGACTATTGAAGAATCTATTCATATTGCTTTTGATGAAACTAACTCTTTCTTGCAAAGAAAGTCTTGTGATGATGATATTATAGATACTTTGGAAGACTTATCTTTAGAAGATAAAAATACTAGCAACAAGGAAAGGGAAAATAATGATGATCAAGGGAATCAACAAAGTGAGAATCAAGAGTTACCAAAGCATTGGAAGTACTCAAAGTCACACCCTATGGATGCTATAATTAGATATCTATAAAAGGGAGTTTCGACACGAAGTTCTTTGAGAAATGCATACAATCACTTAGCTTTTGTCTCTCAAGTTGAACCCAAAAAATTGAGGAAGCTATTCAAGATGAAAATTGGATACTTGTAATGCAAGAGGAGCTAAATCAATTCACAAGGAATTGTGTTTGGGAACTTATCCTAAAATTGAAAGATCATCAAGTGATTGGCACTAAGTCGGTATTTAGAAACAAACTTGATGAAAATGGTGTAATCACAAGGAACAAGACAAGACTAGTAGCTAAAGTTTACAATCAAGAAGAAGGAATTGACTATAATGAAACCTATGTATCCGTTACAAAACTTGAAGCTATTAGATTGCTACTTGCATATGCTAGTATATATGATTTCAAACTATATCAAATGGATGGCAAATCTACGTTTTTAAATGGCATCATTCAAGAGGAGGTATATGTTCATCAACCACCAGATTTTGAGAGATTTGACTTTCCTAATCATGTTTATCATTTGAAAAAGGCTTTATATGGTTTAAAGCAAGCTCCAAGAGCTTGGTATGAAAGATTGAACAATTTTGTACTTGAAAATAATTTTTGTAGAGGTAAAGTGGACACTACATTGTTCATTAAAAGAAAGCATGATCATAGTTGTGCAAATTTATGTTGACGATATCATTTTTGGTTCTACGAATGAATTTCTTTGTGAAGAGTTTGCTAAAATGATGAAAAGTGAGTTTGAGATGTCTATAATGGGAGAACTCAACTATTTCCTTAGATTACAAATAAAGCAAGAAAAAGAAGGCATATTCATCAATCAAGGAAAGTATTGCAAAGAGTTTACTCAAACGCTTTGGGATGGATTAAGCAAAACCAGTAGACACTCCAATGAGCACTTCAATCTCAATTCACAAGGATGAAAAAGATAAACCAGTTGAGGTAATAAAGTATAGATGCATGATTGGCTCCTTATTATATTTAACCGCTAGTAGACTGGATATTATGTTTTGTGTTTGCTTATGTTCTAGATATCAATCTTGTCTTAGAGAATCACATTTAAATGTCGTTAAAAGGATTTTGAGATACTTAATAGGCACTACACATATTGATTTGTGATATCCTAAGGTATTCCCACCTACTTTAACTTGTTATTCCGTTTCCGATTTTGTTAGTTGCAAGTTGGATAGGAAGAGTAGCCTAAACATTGAAATTCTTATCTTTTTCATTCAATTTTGATTTGTTGCAAATTGCCTCTAAATTGATGTTATTTTGAATATTTTAGTTCTATTTAGTGTTGTGAAAAAGATTTATGATCTATAAATTTCTTTTTGGTTGAAGTTGTATTGAAAAGTATTGATTTTTGAATTATTTCTTAAATTAGGAGTAACACACAATTCACTCCCCCTTTTGTGTAATTGTTTAACCATCTTTTCTTTTCAATAAGTTATTTACTCAAAGCTGCCAACAGACAACAAATAGGGAAACTGGGTTCCTTCACTATTTTTGCAACTGCGAACAATCCACAAACCAGTTTGCTCTTAAATTTTAATATGTTATAGTAGACACCTTGGTCTTTAATTTGATATATTATAAGCTTAATTTGAGTAAGAAATAAGAGATTGAATTTATAAAATCGAGACAGAGGTCGCTGTTGATTTTGCGAAACAGGGCAGCGTTCAGTCAAATGGAAACTGGGCATGATCTGCGACACGCAATGGTCTCATATTTTAGAACAGTGCAGGGGACATCCTAAGCTTCAAACTAGTAGTTCACACACCTCATTTTACTAAGAAATGAGGGAGATATTGATCTCCAAAGTTAGGGTAAAAATCACACCAAATTCTGGAAAATTGGGCAGCATGTGTTTGTTTTTACAACTAATCTCGTTTATTCAATTGTACCTAATTAATCATGGAATGACATCCAAAGACCAACAAACCTTGGTGCACTTACATCCTCAACATAATCAATAATATGTCCATTACTCAATTCACAATTATTCTCCCCAATTTGCTTGGGTTATAAGTTACCCTTTCTCACTTTTATCAACTATTACCTAAACCCATTTTCTATCACTTCCATTACATACACATTATCTAATTTCATACATTCATCATCATCATACCAAATCAATTCTAAAATAGACCTAATGTCCTTTCATCATATACATCAAATATTACAATTTCATAGTTCTCAAATAGTACCAATTAAGACTACATTTACATTAACTTATCAAATTGAACTATTACAAATCCATGGTTACCTTTACCAAATGTTACAATACATAATCAAATGACTTACACACAAAAGTATTTACAACCCTAGGCATAATAAATGTAACATCACGCAAGATCAATGTTCATACCCATGAAGTATTATTTTTATTTGTTTATAGCATTCAAATGTGACTACTTTTTAGTTGTATATTAAAAATATTATTTCATCAAATAAAATAATTTCACTTATAGAAAAAGTTTTAAAATTAATTAAAAAGTTATTAAGATTTCTATTTAACTTGTTATCTTATATGTATTTACAAAACCTTTGCACACCCTATGCTAATATTATTAATATAAATAAATTTGAAATATATTATTAATAAAAAATATAAATTAATATATCATTTGGTTATTTTTTTGTTAGAAATTTTTAAAAATATGATTAAAACAATAAACTTTATAAATAAATAAAAATAATACTTCATGGGTATTACATTCTTAGTTTTATCTATTTAAAATTAAAAAAAATATAACAAAATATTCATTTCTCTAATTTACTAAAAACCAATGCACTTTGTTATTTGTTTAAAAATATTAGAAGAATAGTAAACCAAAAAAAAAAATATTAGAAGAATAAAAGTTAAAATTTGATGGAGATATGGAAATTTAAAATTTTGCAACTATCTTAACTGTGGCTAATAAGGCGCTTCGTAAGCGACAAATCCCTTACGTGTAAAACTTGTCCTCAAACAGTAAATAAATTTTCTTTATACTATTTTGATAATTTTTTATTTTTTTGGCCCACTTTGGTCAATCTATCAATTTTAAAATTATCACAAACAAAGCTCCTTTTTAACAAAAAAAAAAAAAAAAAAAAAAGCATTTAAACATGCTTTCTGTTTTTTTGTTTTTTTTGCTTTCAAATATTAGACACAATAAAATTTATGAAACAATTTTTATTATTTTTTTAATATTTAAAGGTTTCAAAAATAAGTTTATCAAAAAAAATTTGATATTTATATTTTGCAAATAATTGTAAAAATGAATTAATAAAATAAATTGTTTTTGGTAATCAATAAAATAATTTTTAAAAATAAGTAACAAAAATAGAATCATAATTGCCTTAAGTAATGAGTTTCATTCTCCTTATTTTGATATTTTAAATCCTTTAAAAGTCCTCCAAAATTGAAAAACTTTAAAATGTTCATAAAGAGAATTTTGAGGGACTTGCATCCCATACTTATATAACTGTTTCTTTTATTTCCGATGATTTCTTCCTTTGCTATGGGAAAAAAACAAAGTCTAGCAGTTTATTTTAAGGAATAGATATTCTATCTACTATTTTTTTTGCCTACCTTTGTCTATCACTCTCTAACACCGTTAGATCAGAATCTTAAGAAGAAAGATAAATGTGATTTAAAATTCTAATCTATAAGGTAATAAGCAAAGATAGGCAGAAAAAATGATAAGTAAAATAACTTATCCCCTATTTTAAAGGACATCTATTGGTGCATGTTTTTTTAGTAATTAGCGATCCAGGTAGCACGAATGTAGTCGCAATTTGACAAATCATCCAAACCGCGCAGTAGCTAAACTGATCCAATCTATGCCTGTTGAGTTCGTATTGATATTCTCTTCGTTATTTGCTCTTTATTTTGTAAAACTGCATGCTATGGCTTAGTTGTGTTCAGAGTTTCTGAAAAAACCAATCCATACAGAAACTGCACATTAATGTGAATAGTTTAGTTTTTTAAAATGAATTGGCGGATCATAGTCGTATTTTACAAATCTATGCATGCTATTACATAAATAGGTCAATCATACGATTGCCGAATCAAAGTTGTTGGTCATAGGGAAAAAAAAAATAAAAAAATTGTTCAATAAAATGTATCAGATAAATGCTAAAAAACTCTTACTTCTGTTGAACAACCAGTTTTCCTTATACATTTGTAAAAAGTTGTTTGTCACAATAAAAAATAATAATAATAATAATAAAAAGCTTATTTGATGTACAGGGTCAAATAAAGGCAAATTTTCAAATATGAAAGAGGGGGGAATCCATGACAGAATCCTTGAAGCAACGCACTCTTGAGCCAATAAGGCATGTAGGTGATTTTACTTTATACAAAGATGAAGGTTTGGACAAAATTATTTTGAAGTACTGGCACCTGTACAAAAAATGTGAAAGAGATATTACTTAATATGAAAATACCATATTAAAATTATTACATGATATAACCAAACTAACAGTAATAATAGCTCATTAACTTGTTTAAAAATTACATAGATTGGATAATATATATATATATATATATATATATATATATATATATATATATATATATATATATAAAATAAAAATAAAAACATAACAAGAACAAGTGAGGGTCCTTCATCTTTTATGTTCAGATACCACGAGTGGCCTTTTTTAAATTGCTAAAATTCTCACTTTGTGAATTCAAGTATTAGGATTGCTAGAAAACTAACCATCTTTTTCTTCATCGATAGGGTCAGCTTTCCAAACAATATCTTTCAGCCCAGTTGATAGACTCTTGTAGAACTGCAAAGAAAGACAACTTAGTCCATGCAAGCAGCTAATAAAATGAATATTTTCTGTGTTCTTTTATTTTGAAAGTTAAAAGTCAAAATACAAAACAAAAATAACTAAAATATGTTCTTTAAATTTGATTCTAAAAACTAAAATACAGTTATAATTTTTAAAACTATTTTTACAAAATAAGTATTATCAAACAGGGTTTTTTGTTTGGAAAATTAAAAAATTGTGCATTAGACTTGCCTTGTGAAATTCCAGAGTATCTCCTTCAGCCTTACGTAGCTCAACCATGTAAAGCGAAGGGGCCACCTCAAAGATCTGGAAAGCAACACATACAAAAAGCATTAGAAACAGTCCTGAGTCTTGAATACAAATAAATTAACATGAAGGACACACCCCAGATCATGGAAGCAAACTTTGAAAAAATATACCTCAGTGGAAACAGATAGGTGACCTTTCCTTCCAGTCTTTTCCCCTTGAATCTTCAACTGAAATGCAGAGTAAAATATATTATCAGAAATAGAAACTCAATAGCAACTTATTATTGTTAGAAATTAGCCCTGGTAGTACAAGTAGACAATATAATGTTAAGAGACAAGAATTAGCATAGATTTTTTTACCTTACAGTTGTTCTTCTTAACATCAAAACCCAGAGGTCCTGCAGCTTGCTCAATTTTTGAGATTATCTCATTTGCTGAACATTTGGATGTGAATCTTGTTTCCCTTTTAACAAGTCCCTAGTTGCCAAAAAATACAACTAGCCTCAGCCATTATATTCAGAACAAATTCAATTATCAAATTTTGGAGATAATATGCATTCTTGATTCAAGCAATGTGTTGTCAACAAGCAGCATGACATAATAGTGTGAAAAGGAGAAATGAAAAATACTTGTAGTTCTTGTGATCTGATCACGACGCAATTTGACAACTCCTCACAAGACATATAAATTTTATTTTATTTTCATTTCCTCAATCCATTCCATGTCAAGTTTCTAGGATGCCATATAAGAGAAAATAATACAGTTCATTTTATTTTGTTTTATAAAGATACACATACCATTTGCTTCTCAAAAAGACTACTAAGGTTGAGGCCCTGAGATTTAGATATAAGCTCAAATGCATTCATGGTCACAGGTGCCACAGGCCCAACCTCACGCCTCTCAACAACAAGATTTTGTGAATCCTGTGCACCACAAGGAGCATTCAGATCGAGATTAGAATCTAAAGCTTTGATGAACAAAATTTAATCAAGATAACTGCAAAACCAAAAGACTTACCATAGATTCACTGAAAATAGAATTTACATCATCAAGACTAACATTAGCCTGTTCAAATACGGGAGGCTTATATCCCTTCTTGAACCACTCGTTCTCAATGACCTCAGCAATTGTAATCCGCTGTTTCATATCGTTAAAAGAGAAAGAAACACAGGTTGGTTTCACATATTTGGTGAGATATAGGGAAAAATTAGAGTATTTGCTAAAACTCAGATTAGTAGAAGAGTAGAATGGGAATAAACAAAAATAACACAAGTCAAGGGCAGGGCATGCATACAGTAGCAGGACTCGGATCAAGGATTCTTTTGATTAGCTTCTTTGCACTTGAAGAGAACCATGGAGGACATGTGAACTCAGCCTTGAAAATCTGTCAGTCAACGGAAAAAAAAACAAAAAACCACATGAGGCAGCTCCATCATGAAACAGAAAATACAGGACTGCATTCAAGCAAAGACACAAAAAATTTACGGTTTTGCAGATCACTCTTCAACTTAGCTAGTTCTATAGCAACAGGTACCTCTTCCCAATAGCGAGATCCCCCGTTCAAATTTTTCATTTATTCAAAGTAATTTTTGCCTGACATATTCCTCTGTCACGCAACCCTACTCCCCTTGTTGCCCCATGGGGGTATTTTTCTCGCAATTTTTCAGCACTTTATTTGTGAGTGTAGTATATTAACTTAAGCTTTATTTGATTAAGAAGTAACAACAAACAGCAGCATATTTCTGTCCTGTTCCTCAAAGGAAATAGCCAATTACTACGAAAAGGAGCCTTGACTAAAAATGACTACCAGAAAAGTTGGCGCACTAAACTAGACCTACGTCATTACAACCTGTTTTAGGGTGCGTCTGAAGGCATTAATTAGGGACGGTTGTATCAAGCAGTTAGTCTTGTAATTAGGTCGTTATTCAGTTAAGCCTTTAGGGAAGAGGTTGAGCCTAGTATATAAAAGGGATACTCTAATTGCAGTGAGCAGAGCATTTGGTTAATTCATAGTTTGGCTAAGAATTTCTTAGACGAAGGGGTGTTCCCTTTTAGAAGAGCTTGCTCTTGAATTCTGTCCTTGTACTCTTTCCTATTAATCAATAAAGACTTGTTCTTACTTTCATTTTCCTTCCCTTTCCACCCTCCCCTTACCCCATTTCTGTAATTCTTACCTTATAATAATCCAGAGCTGTAACAGACGTCAACAATAGCTCTTGGGCAGTTTGATTAGGATGATATGTGACACTGGAAACCTATAGCTTAATTCTAGAAAATATATTCCAGCTTCTAGGTGCTGATTTCTGTCCCCAGCTCATAAAGGTTATTATTTCCCACTATACATGAAGAAATAATTAAAATTCTTAATGCTGTTTCCAGGCAGAAAAAAAAGGACACTATTACCCTAATTGAATTGCTTATGATTTTGAAAACTAGGAACAATGCCAGGGTTAATGTGAAAATTCCATTATTCTACCTCAAAAAGAATATTTAACTACAGTTACTAAACAGGTACTTCACATCAGGGCCAAGAGATACTACTCACTATAAAATTTCTTCAAGCACAAGTTAGTAAAAAGATATTAAGTATTCCAAAGTAAAAAAATCTTAAGTATTCAAAAAAAATCAAACAGATCACCAACCAGCAAAGAAAGTAGTACACAGTTCATTAGTTTTCAGCGTGGTTCAAACCTCTGTTGCACCAAAATTTCAATAGTGTGTATATATATATATGTTGATAAAGTACATATTCATCATATAACATATATAAATTAAATTTGTAAAAAACCTATAATATAGAGATAATAAAAATCATTCCTTTATGTGAAGTGACTATAATTATTAAACATTATTAAATAGTTTCATGTAACATACAGTAACAATGCAATATTCAGTTGAACAACTATATACAACAGAGAAATGAAATTCCTTCACAATGTATATACTCGGTATCAAACAACATAATTGTAAATACCAACTTCCCAAAAGCTTATTCTTTTTCTTTTTTTTTTTAAATTTTTTTTTCTAAAAAGCATAAGTTGTTGGATGCAAGCACAAAAATGGTTTTATCTCTAAATCACCCTGACACAAAAACCCTTTGGGCTTGAAGAGTAAATTATACAGAAGACCATTTTACTTTGTGCTGAAACTGAAGTTAATCACAAAGAATAGCAGCAGCCAGAATCAAACTCTCATCACTCAGTCAAAGAGGCTTTCACCCTACCGTCAATGACAAACTCTCCCAATATAGAAAGTAGTTAGATTCAAGCACGAATGATATTTGTGCCTAACAATATTTATTAGAAATTTAGAATATAGAATATTAATATTTTTTATTGGACAGTAAAGAATTCCAGCAGTTGAATTTTAAAGTTAATGGCTATTCTCAACCAACAACAACAAAAGCCTTTTTCTACCAGTGCCATTTTTCATCAGGTGGGGTCACCTATATTTGTTGTTTTCAATGAAACTAGGAAAAAGTAATTCAGAATATATAGGTTTATTAAAAATTTAGGTTATGATAGACACCGACGGCATCTATTGACCTATGCAGCTGACCCCACCAAGTGCGATCAGAGTAGTTAATAGCATGCCGCGCTGTAGCAGCGTAGCACTACCTGGCAGAGACAGAAGTGGCATGGCATCGTGTTGGGTTTTTGTGGAGTGGCAATAGCAGCCTGAATCATGGGCAGATGGCAGACACTTCCTCTGTTCTGTCCCATTTTGCTGTCAATTATAATTTCCAGCCCCTCTTTGGTGCAGCCAAGGCATCATCTCATTCACAACCAGCCCCTCTTCAGTCTCTTCTTGTTTGAGATTGATGGTAATTGTGTCTGGGGTATGACTTTTGATTATTAATGATGTTACGTGTTTAATTATAGGCAATTTTTTCATTTTTGAGAATTTATGTGTGCATTATAAATTACATATTTTTTCCCTTACCTTTGGAATAGCGGTCATCCCACTATAGCATTTCCTGGAGTTGGCTGCTCTGCGCCACTATTGGGGACAGGCAATTATGTGTGGGATGAGGCTTGCTTATTGTTAAGGGGGAAATGATTATACATCAATCACTAGTCAACCCGCACTAGGTCAACCAGTTGGTTAAAAGCCAGCCGGTCTATCCAGTTACTGAAATGTTTTGAGTACATTTGTTTACAAACGAAAACCAAACCAGGGACCATTTCCAAGTCAAACAGCTGTTTTCATAGCGGTACTAGTAGTTGGTGTTAACAACAGACAATGTAATGGGAGACCAGCAAAAAGATGAACTAACGGTCATTTCTGTTCACAGAAGTCGTTCTAGACAACATCATGACATCAAATAAATTATGCAAAATATCTGCATAAAAAGTACTTCATATGACAAAGAAAACAAATGGAATCATGAGCATGCATGCACCCCGAAAAATCCCTTCAATATTTATTAATTTACTGCTTCAAGGCTGAATTTTTCGAGCATTCGAATCCACAAAGGTTCTAAAGAAAACAAGTACTCAAGAAATCAAGTTGTTATGCTCTCCAATTGTGATATCCGAAACGTCGACTCAGTTTCCGGAGAACAAAAAAGAAACAGACATTGAGTAAAAATCACCTTTTTATATAAAGCCATAAGATTGTTTTCTTCGAAGGGCAAATAGCCAGCCATTAAAACAAAAAGAATAACACCACATGACCAAAGATCTGCCTTTGCACCATCATAGCCTTTGTTGTGTATCACCTAGATGATAAGGAAGCAGTGATAAAACAAAAAAATAAAAGGTTTATGAGATAAAATATATGGTAACTAGCAGCAAACGCTAATATACCTCTGGAGCAACATAATTTGGCGTACCACATGTTGTGTGAAGTAGCCCATCTTCCTGTTAACAATAGGATCTGTTACCAATTGGACATAATTATATTTTATCTCTTTCAAAAATTTAGTCAACATACTTACCCGAACTTGTTGAGGCAATGCACTCAATCCAAAATCAGATACTTTAAGCACTCCGTTAGCATCCAGCAACAAATTCTCCGGCTTTAATAGATAAAGCGTAGTAAAATGTTAGTTTTTTTATTCTTTTTCCTTGCTTCTCTCTCTGTCACACCCACCCACCCACCCACCCACCTCTGGTTGGGTATGTACAGTCTCTCATGAAAAATTAAATTCTTACACTGAGAATGCATTACTAACAAATTCAGAAACCTATAATTCGAACCGCCCACCAGCACTTCCTCTTTGAAAAGGGAAACAAAGGTAATATGAAAGACACAAGTGATACACACCTTTAAGTCTCTGTGGAAAACACCTCTACTATGGCAGTAATCTACAGCACATATAAGCTGTTGAAAATATTTTCTTGCTTCATCTTCTTTCAACCTTCCGTTGCGAGCCTGGCTCAAGTTAATAGAAATAAAAGCACCAAAATAGAAGGGTTATAAAAAGACAATGCTAATATACAGGACTCCGACCATCAGGAGCACACGGAAGGGTAAAACTGCCTTACAATTTTATCAAACAGCTCCCCTCCAGTCACAAACTCCAGTACAATGTATATCTTTGTTTTGCTAGCCATCACCTACACCAGGAATTTGTCATTTACAATGCAGAAGGCAGTTAGGAAAGACTGAAAGTAAAACTCAGGAAAATTGAAGACAGAAACAAATCATGCAAATGTATAATACTTAGATGCAATCATTTACTGCCTTCTAACCTCGTACATGCGTATGACATTTGGGTGTCTAATCAGTTTCATTGTTGATATTTCTCGTTTTATCTGCATAACAGTGAACAACAGAAAATATCAGGTAAGACAAGAGTATTCATGCTTCAAAGAAAACACTCATAAATTTAGCACAAGTTATTCACACCAGGATCGGTTACAGTCATGCTACGCATGCCCAAGTGTGGAGGGATTCACCAACAATGTTATAGTTAAAATTTAACCGCAAATCTTTTGCCAACTAAACTCTTCCCCCCACCCCCCAAATATTGCACAAAACACACCGTATGAAACTTAAATCATTGACCCGTTTAACTGTTGAAAAAAAAAAAATACTCAAGCAAGTGATACTATCAAGAATTCTCTTATTAATAATAGTATGAGCTATAATAGACTAAACAAAGACTTCATATAATTAGTCAGGATCAAATCATAACAATTAATACTAGGACTAAATATTGGACTTTTATATTAACTTCGTAAAAGTTTGAGTGCTCAAGATCGCAGGAAGTAACTGTGCATTTTGTCTTCAACTGATTCCATTTTATTCTCTAAGCCAATTCAGATGGGAGAGCTTGGACTTTGGAAATCCTTTCAGTTTCTAGCTCAGTTTGCTAAACATTCAAATGCTGGTTCTTACATTGAAAATCCAAAAGTCTCAGGAAGTTTGAATTCATTGTTTGGGAATTCTAGTTAAAAGAATTAACACATATGACTTGTTCCAGATTTGCAGGCCTCACACCACTCTTTCGGCCAACATGTGACATACGTATTGTGTGCAGAATAAGCTCAGCAACAGTAAACTGTTTATATCTTGCATTTTAATGTGGCTACTGTTGTATGGAAGAACCATTTTGTAGTTTTATAAAGGCCTTTAAGAAAACTTCACTGAGATACATAAAAGAAAATCCCCATACTTTCAAAGACAGAAAAATATTCCAACGAACAAAAATAATAGAAACTGTAGTCCGCTCAGAAAATGACAAACTTTACTTCACACATTAACTATCGCAAACTTTGACAATTGCCCATTTTCTCAAAAAACCAAGAAAGCAATCAAACACCCAAAAACATTAACTGCCCAAAATTTTGACTTGTGCCCATTTTCTTACCGAGGAATAAAACAAAACGGATGAACCCTCTCTCGATTACCCAGAAACCCAAATCATCCCCCACAACTCCAAAACATAGAATTAATAAAAACCCAGAAAGAAGATCCCCCCAAATAAAAAAAATAAAAAAAGACAATTCATATTGATTAACACAAATCACAAAATTCATAATATTAATCCATCAAAAACTACAAAAGAAAAAGAAAACCGAATAGCAAATAGTGAATGGAAATTACCTGGCCAATCATTTTGTGCTTGAGAACTTTCTCCTTGTCAAGAATCTTGATGGCCACGTTCTCACCAGTACCAACGTGCCTCGCAAACTTAACCTTCGCGAAATTGCCCTCGCCCAGGGTTCGACCCAGCTCGTACTTCCCCACACGGGTCCTCGAGCTCCCACCACCACCTTGCCCCGAACGTGACGACATCTTCTTTCTTTCTTTCTTTCTTTCTTTCTTTCTTTCTTTCTTTCTTCTTCTTCTTTTCAAAGTCCTTCTCTTTCTCTCTCTCTCTCTAAAAAATAATAGAATTTCTGTCTCTAAAATCAAAGCCTCTTCTTCTTGCATGGTTGCCACACCTGAGACTTGGCGAACCTCATTTTCTCTTTTGGCTCTTTCCCTTTATGTGTCCGTCGAAGAACCAAACAAAGGAATCGAACCCGCCGAGATAATAAACACTGGAAGGCCAACAAGTTTTAATTTTTGTTATCAAAGAGGAAAAGGGTTGGTGTGTCGTTGACCGTTGGATCAAACGAGTACCCCATGAATTCGGTTCAATCAACGGACGGAAAATTTTCGATGAGAGAGGAAAATGAATTCCCAGAAATACACACAACTTTTTCTCTCTCTCTCTCTCTGTTACATTGTCTTTCGTTTTTTTTTTTTCTTAATTAATTTTTTTCACGAGGAGAAGAGGGAAAAAGGGGAAGGAACTTGAAGTGAGGATTTTGGGTTTCCCTTTTTGGGTGAGGGAAATAAATGTGTGGCGGTGGCGGCGATCTCAAAAAGTGAGTAAAGATGGTGAAGTTGTTTTTTGTTTTTGTTCTTTATTTTGAGATGTAGTTGTAACTTAACTGGCAAGGAAAACGGAAGAGGATTGAATCCAATGAATGAGGTTATCAACTAAATGATTCATTATTGCCACTTTTTTATGTGAGTTTTGGTCTTATGGGAAAGGCACATCTAGCGTCGGTAAAAAGCAATAATGAACATTATCAAAAAAAAAAAGCAATAATGAACATTACAAAAAAAAAAACTTGAGCGGTTGAGCCCATGCATTTGACAAGTCGTATTAAAAACATTAATAAATATTATTTTTATTCTATATACTTGAAGTCTTTTTATTAAGATTCATGTATTGAGAAAATTTAACTTGTTTTTTATTATTTAATCTTGAGAAATTGATCTCAAGAAATTGGTTTTTGGTTTGTTTTAGTAATATGTAATAATAATTCATGTGATTAAACTTTTTTTTAATAATTTTTTCTGCAATAATTTTAGAATACTTCCGTTTGTTTTGAAGATATAAAACAATTACATGTTTTTATCATTTATTCTCCTGTAGTATTCTAATGTCATTTAAAGTTTTTATAGTTTAATAAAGTATTTAATAATTTTAAATTTATTTTAATATAAAAATTTGAATGTAATGCAACACCGAGTTCAGTATATCTTTTCCTTTCCCTGACAACAAATTTATGGCAAAGAACTGTGCTACGGTCTACAGAGAACCGTAACTGCCAAAAAGAGAAAAAAAAAAGGACGAGTCATGCCAAGAAACGTAACTCTACCAAACACTTTTAGGAAACTACATTTTTTGACTTTTTTTACGCACGATAATTAAACAATATTAATCTTAGTTGCACGTCGTGAAAACCTGCCAGATATCATAAGAGAAAATGCGGATCATTAATATAAATAATAACAAGTACAGACAAAGAAAGAACCGAACATGTGATGGTAGTAATTAAATGAAGTTTTTGAGATTTTCTTTTGAGAGTATTTTGAGATTTTCTTTTAAGATGATACGAGTACGAGGAGGGAGTCCACTCGCTTACGTGGAGCATCGATGTGGGCGCTTGACTTTGCATGAGTTTAGTGAAGTGGCTTATACAGCGCGTATTAGCAAACTGTTATGTTGGTTGCTAGTTAGTTACGGAGTTATAGAGAACCGTGTGTTAGAAGGCACATGTAACATGCTGTATAAATAGTGAAGTTGATGTAAACATTATATATACAGAAGTTGAATAACAAAGTTTCTTTCCTTTCTTGAAATATTCTCTCTGCAAACCTAGGTTGCATCATTTGGTGCTTTTCATTCCTGTATCAAGCCTAACGCAAATGTGGAATTGAATCAAAGGATCGACCAACTCTCTGAATCCTTGGAGCTTCGTTTGATGAATTTTTTTGAGGCTCGTTCCAACGCCTTGGAAGCTAGACTCAGGGAAGTTTCGTTGCAAGGGGCTCATCATGCGCTGCCAGCAAATTCACACACACAACCGCGAGTTGATCTACATATGGGAGGCAAGGCAATCCAATGCATGATCAACGAGCAGCGCTTTTGATACCATGTTAACAAAACACTTCAACACAAAACTTTAAGGTATTAGGTGAAGACTTTTTTAATGATTTATATTATATTCTCTAACAAAATCCCTTCGTTTGATGGACAAAACCCTCATGTTTGACTTTTAAAAACAGAGTTGTTCTTCAAGATGCAACTTATTCGTGAAGAATTCAAGGTTCAATTGGCAGGATTAAAGATGGAGGGGCTACAAATGCTTGGTTCCAATGGATTCATAGGAGCGGTATGCCACATTCTTGGGCAGAATTTGCTCAAGCTTTGCGCCAACGATTTGCTAGAACAACATATAGGGATCTTTGAAGTGCGCTCTAAAAAACTTTCACAACCTGGCTCATTACAAAATTATGTGAATGAATTTGAAGCCTTCATGAACCAAGTACTTGGATTAGATGATGGGATGCTTTTGAGTTTCTTTGTATCTGGGTTAAACATGGACCTCTACAGTGGTATCTAGGTTCATTGGCCAGCAAGTCTGCATTAAGCGATGCAGTTGGCCTTTGCTTACGAAGCTCACCACCAAGAACTCTATTCTTCCTTTCATGGTTCGTACAAGAAACAAGGGTGGAAGAGCACAACTGAAACAAGTTCTGCAACGTCATCCTCGTTATAGAATAGTGGGAAACCAAATGTTCCATTGTTACCAGCTTCTTCTTCTTCTTCCTTACTGATTAAGAAACTATCCCGAAAGGAACTTAAAAAGAAATGTGAGCTTGGTCTCTGTTATTCTTGCGAGAAGAAGTGGACTATGGGCCATAGATGCAAATCCAAAATGCTACTTCTGATGGGGGATCCTGAGGATAATTTTGTGGAAGGCGAAGAGCAAATTTGTATGGTGTCTTGCAGAATCCAGTACTGCACCACAGGAGGGTCTCTTGAATTCCTTATCCATGCGTAGCAATAATAAGATAATGCTGTTGGAAGGGTTGATCATGAACAAGGTGATTGGCGTATTGGTGGACTCGAGAAGCTCTCACAATTTCATACAGAGGGAATTAGCCTTGGCGATTGGCATACCCTTAATGCGGACCAGGTGTATGAAAGTCGTTCTCGGTAATGGATAATTCCTATTGTGTAATACTAAATACTGTGATGTTTCTGTCTTCATTCAAGACAAGGAGTTTGTAGTGGAATTGTGGACGTTGAATCTTAAGCATTTGCAAGTGATTTTGGGCATGCCCTGGTTAGAGTCGTTGGGGTGAGTTACACATGATTACAAAGATATGATGATGGAATTCGTTTAGAAGAAGGAAAATGTGATGTTGTGTAGTTGTAGTGTCATTCCAGGAAAACAACCTTCATGTTTAATGATGCAGCAAGAGGCATATCCTCCACAATCGATCTCCTCAAAATTGTTAGGGCTGCAAGATAGCGTGCCGAGAGAAATATGGGATCTTAGTAAGATTTCAGCAAGTGCTTGATACCCCAAGAAGTTTACCACCTTTAAGGGAGATTGATCATTCCATCCATATGTTGGAGGGATCCAAACCCGTGAATGTCAAACCATATCATTATCCCTATTTTCCAAAAGTAGAAATAGAGAAACAAGTGAAGGACCTACTAGCTACTGTTTCATTCCATAAAGCAAGAGTCTTTACTCATCTCCTGTGTTGCTGGTCAAAAAGCATGACAATACTTGGTGCATGTGCATCGATTATAGAGTACTAAATGTAGTAACGGTAAGAGATCACTTCCTTATTCCTACTATAGATGAACTCTTAGATGAATTGTGCCATGCCTCTGTGTTCTTTAAATTGGATTTACGTGTGGCCTATCACCAAATAAGGTTGAATGAGGCTGATATCCCTTACACAACGTTTAAAATGCATGATGGGCATTACAATCACATTGTAATGCCATTTGGGTTGACAAACGCCCCATCTACCTTTCAAGCAACTATGAACAACATTTTCAGGCCATTTTTACATAAATTCATCATTATTTTATTTTTTTTCTTTTGTTGATATTCTCATCTACAATAGCTCATTACAAGACCATGTACAACAATTAACAGTAGCTTCAGACTATTTGCATCAACATGAATTTTTTGTCAAACTAAGTAAGTGTTCTTTTGCTGTTGGAGAAATTGATTACCTGGGTTATCTAGTGTCTAGTTTAGGGGTGAAAGCAGACCCTGCAAAGATTGTTGCTATGGCCTAGTGGCCTTGTCCTCTTTCCATAAAATAGTTGAATGTTTTTCTTGGCCTCACCGGTTATTACCACCAATTTGTGAAAGGCTATGCTGCTATAGTTACCCTACTCACTAATTTGTTATCTCAAGATTCATGGCATTGGTCTGAGGAAGCAGATAAGGCATTTGAAACTCTTAAGCAAAATATGGCTTCCACTCATATCCTAGCTCTGCCTAATTTTTAAGTACCCGTTTGTGTGGAGACTGATGCATCTACTTCAGGTATAGGTGCAGTGTTAACTCAGAAAAGGCAACCAATTTCACTTTTTAGCAATTAGCTTGGTCCCAATCTAGCAGTTGCATCCACATATGTAAGAGAATTGACAGCTATAGTTGAGGCAATTAAGAAATGGCGACCATACCTCCTAGGTTCCTATTTCATTTTGCGTACTGACCACAGGAGCATAACGGAGATTCTTTCACAAGTTTTAACTACTCCTGAGCAGCAAAAGTTTGTTTCAAAATTGATGGGGTATTCCTTTTCTATTGAGTATAAACTTGGGAGTTTAAACTTTGTAGCTGATGAGTTATCTCAACAATATGAGGGTGATGTAGGTTGTAACGTGTGTTTCTCAGAAATTTCTTGTGATTTGATTGAACAAATTCGTCAGGAAAATCTACAAATGGATGCCTTGTTAGCATTGCATTCGAAGCTGGATAAAGGTGAGCTATTGGATGGCACCATCTCTCGGAAGGATAGAATTTTATTTCATAAACCGAGTTATGTCTTAAGCTCCACTTTTGTCTTGAAAGATTCATTATTAGAGGAAGCTCATTGCTCTTTAGTGGGAGGTTATGTTGTGTGCCTACGTATGTTCCTACGTTTGTCAGCATCATTCTATTGGCCTCAAATGAGGCTAGATGTCAAGAGCTTTGTTCAGGAATGTGTTATTTGCCAATCCATGAAGTCAACAACAACCCCACCAGCTGGTCTTCTTCAAACATTACCCTTACCTGAAGCAGTCTTTGATGATTTAACGTTAGACTTCATCATTGGCTTACCTTTATCAAACAAGTTTTCTCCGATCTTAGTGGTTGTCGATAGACTTACCAAATACGCCCACTTTGGGGCCTTGCCATTTGCGTTTAGCCATGGGTGCTCAATTATTCATTGAGATGGTTGTTAAATCCCATGGCTTTCCACGCTCACTGATATCTGATCGTGAAAGTATATTCTTAAGCCAATTTTGGCAGAACCTATTTCGTTTCAGTGGCACAAAGCTGCACATGAGTGCAACATATCACCCGCAATCAGATGGCTAGAGTGAGGTTACTAGTCGTTACTTGGAACAATATCTTAGAGCAACATGCTTCTTGG